TGATGATGATGATGATGATGATGATGATGATGATGATGATGATGATGATGATGATGATGATGATGATGATGATGATGATGATGATGATGATGATGATGATGATGATGATGATGATGATGATGATGATGATGAGTAGGAGGAGGAGGAGGAGGAGGAGGAGGAGGAGGAGGAGGAGTAGGAGGATCCCGGGTTTGTACAACGCCAAACCATTCCCTCCAGTTGGGCATATCAATCGCCCAAGCCCAAATGACACTCCGTCAACAGAGTCTACTTACGAAGGCCTCGTGCGGATCCTATTTGTTCAAACCGCCCACGCTGCCTGCAGCACTTAAACAAAAACGGCACATCATTTCAGAAAAGATTAGCTCTAGACTGTTTTAACGAGTAGGTTATTGTTCTATTATAATATTCCGGCACACTGAATAATTACGTAGCCAAATTTGGGTATTTTACTGAAAGAGCTATTAGGTTGAGAACCTGTGGTCAGGTTTTTACAAAAAAGCTCCTTGTTGTCGTTGCTCTAGGGACATCGAACATCAATGAGAAAAATTAATGCTACATTAGTAGTCGTTTTTTTACAGACTGTAGTATTTGCATGCAGCCGGAAGGTAGTTCATTGAAAGTCGGCATCCTGACTTTACTGAAATATTATGGAATTATGTTGCAGGCTGACTAGTTTTACAACCCTTCTTAATTAATATTCTGGAAACGAAAAGAAATTTCAGAATTCCGGTTGACATTTCATGAGTTAGCCCACCTACTGTGTTAGTTTGAGAACCTGTGGTCAAGTTTTTGCGAAAAAGCTCGTTGTTGTCGTTGCTTTTGGTCTGATGACCCGATAAAAGTCCACTGCGGGCTGCACCACTGAAACACTTGTCTTCCAAAGTGCAAAGCACTGACACTCAGTTGAGCACAGCAGAAGTTACAGTCTTAGCTCACATATCAAGACTTCATCGTCCCTCGGTCAGTGAAAATCATAAGTAAAACACTGGCGTAGGCCGTTATGCAGCACCTAGTTTGACCGTCGATTTCGACGATGTCCACCATGTGCCCCACAGCAGCAGCGGTGGGAGCAGGGACGGTAACGTGCGCAGGGCTTTACGCTGCATCTACCTGCACTCTCTTCCCCACCCCCGCCTAAGTCCGGTGTCAAGACACAGTCAAGAAGACCGGAGACGAGGGAGGCCGCAGGTGGATGGCTTGGACGGATCTTCACCTTGGTGTTCCACCACACCATGCAGCGCCAACCACTGCGCCCAATCCCATCAGCAGGTGGCTGCCAGGCTCGATCAATCGACTGGTGTATGGGAGAGGAAAGAGAGTGATCAGCATCGGGGAATCCATTCTCAAGACACATTAACGTACTACTTCACTAAAAGAGATATGACATGCGAAGAACCATGGCTGAGATGATTGCCAACTGATGGGACAACGCGGCTCTTCTCCAGACCGAGAGTCCGGCCGTAATGGCCCCCTCTCACTGCGGCTTTCATGACACTCCAACTCGTGTGAGATCCGATTCGTCTTCATCAATAGCCTAGCACACGTTTCGGGGTCTAGGCGGCGTGCGGTACGCGTAGATTAACCGTGTAGCTTTGTCAGGCACTGCACACGAGCCCACCTCCTCTCGTCTTGGTGTTGTCTTGTCGTTTGAGCAAAGTGGTTAAGGGAAGAGAGAGAGAGTGAGAGAGAAAAGGAGGTAGAGAGTGGTATACGCTGCATAAGCTTGCCTTACTATAGACCAATTCCCGCACAATTCGCTGATGCACGTGATGACAGAATTTTCGGATTTTCAACGTGCACTCCTGATGATGATGATGATGATGATGATGATGATGATGATGATGATGATGATGATGATGATGATGATGATGATGATGATGAT